GTTGTTTTTAATTTGTTTTTTTTTTTTTTTTTTTTTTTTTTTTTTTTTTTTTTCCGGGGTGTGGTGGCTTGTACTTGTAATTCCAGCATTGTGGAAGCAGAGGCAGGAGGATCACTGCAAATTGTAGACCAGCCTGGTTTATGTAGCCAGTTTCAGGCCAGTTATGACTACATAGTGAGAGCCTGTCTCAAATAAAAAAAAACATTTGTTTTAAAATGTTACTTCTGGTGCTGGAGAGATGGCTCAGTGGTTAAGAACACTAGTTGTTCTTGCAGAAGACCCGAATTTGAATCCCAGCACCCACATGATAGCTAACAACTGTCCGTAACTCCAGTTCCAGGGGATCCGATGGCCTTTTCTGTCCTTGTGGGCATTGCATGACACGGGTGCACTTACTTACACGCAGGCAATACATGTATACACATAAAAAGAAAATAATTTTTTTTAAAATGTTGCTTCTGGTGCTGGAGAGATGGCTCAGTGGTTAAGAGTACTGGCTGCTCTTGCAGAGGATTAGGGTTCTGTTGCCAAAGTCTATGGCAACCTGGGTGCAGTCACAGGTCCTGAATGGATGACACTGAAGATAAACCAGTGGACCCAGGCTTCCATGCACCTAGTACTGATAGTATCAGCAGCTCTGCTTTTATTCTCTTTTTTTCGTCTTTTTGAGACAGGGTCTCCCTGTAGCCCCAGCTGTCCTGGAATTCACTATGTAGACCAGGCTGGCCTTGAACTCACAGAGATCCGCCTGCCTCTGCCTCCCGAGTGCTGGGATTAAAGGCGTGCGCCGCCACGCCTGGCTTGCTTTTGTTCTTATACTCCTGAGAATCACAATCACAAGTTTGCAGAACTGAACAATAATAAAATGGTGAGAATATAACAATTCATCAAAATGAGATGAGCACAGCAACATCTTCTCCACACTGTGTCTACTTAGGAGATCAGTGTGTTTCATGAGCAACTAGAGGGGGAGAACTGGCTGGAGACATCTCCCCAGCAAACATTCTTGCATAAAACTTCTCATGATGCACAAGGCTTTCCAGACATACATGCGCAAGGTTCAACTTATTTCACCAAGCATATTTTTTTAAATGATTCTTTTTTTCTTTTTTTTGTCTTTTTGAAACGAGGTCTCCCTGTAGCCGAAGCTGGCCTGGATTCAATAATGGAAACCAGGCTGGCCTTGAACTCACAGAGATCCGTTTGCCTCTGCCTCCTGCGTGCTGGGATTAAAGGCATGTGTTACCATACCTGGCTAAATGATTCTTTTTAAAATATTTTATTATTTTTATATTATGTGTATGTGTGTATTGCCTGCATGTAGGTAACTGCACCCACATCATGCAATGCCCAGAGGACAGAAGAGACTGTTGGATGGCCTGGAACTGGAGTTACAGTTGTTAGCTGCCATGTTGGTGCTGGGATTTGAACCCGGGTCTTCTGCAAGAACAGTGTTCTTAACCACTGTGCTATCTCTCCAGCTGCCCCCCCCGTATATTTTTTTTTATTAAAAAATTATTTTTGGTCTTTTTGAAACAGGGTCTCCCGGTAACCCCAGTTGGCCTGGAACTCACTATGTAGATAAGGCTGGCCTTGAACTCATGGAGATCTGCCTGCCTCTGCCTCCCAAGCTGCTACCACGCCCAGCTACCAAGCATATTTTTGGTCACTATGTCACGGTCCCTTCAAAAGTCCTGTAGCTCTTTTAGGACCCCTCAGATATCTTTTAGGGTGCAGGAGTGAACCAGGGCTTGGTACATGCTAGGCGAACGCTTTATCATAGGGTCATATGCTCAGCTCTGTTCTGAATGTTCTTGGATCCTCTACCAGATTGTGACCTCTCTGGTTAAGATCCAGGATCTTGGTCAAATGTATTTCTTCATGGTCCGTTCACAAAGTATGTTTATTCAAACTTATATTCAAAAGCATCCTTTGACTATCCCCATCCCGGAAGCGGGGGCGACGGGCAGGAAACGGTCCCTGGAAGGGGGCATTGGTTGATAATGAGCCAGGACGTTTGGATTCAAGATACTGGGTAGCTGGGAGTGATGCTTAAGGGTTTGACCAAAGGTAGCAGGGCCTGGAAAGCCATCCTTTTGGATTCTATTGCTGGATGGGCAGGAATCAGGGGCGGTCGCCTGAATACCGGTTCTCACGAGGTGCTGGAGCAGATGTGGAACGTGGAGTCACGCAGCGCCTTCAAGCCGGTTTGAGACGCCCACGGAAGCCACAGTAGGTCTCTAGGGCAGGAGGCTCTCGACTCCTAGGTACGGAGTGGGCTGGGGAAGAGGAGGCTCAGGCTCAGGCCCCGCCCCCTTTCCGGCAGGCTTCCCGGATTGGCTGTCCTTCCGCAACGTCACGCGGCTCCGCCCCGGCGCGCGTCCTGCCGCGTGCCCACCCTCGGGTGGCTGGTGCAGCCTACGCGACCTCCTTCACTGCCTGCCACCCGCGGAGCCCGAGACGGAGCGGGGCGTCCGGCCCGAGGTGGGTCGCCTGACCCTCGGCGGCGGGCGATGCTTCGGCTGCCTGAGCAGCCATGGAGGCCGAGGCAGGAGGCCTGGAGGAGCTGACGGACGAGGAGATGGCGGCCCTAGGCAAGGAGGAGCTGGTGCGGCGCCTGCGGCGGGAGGAGGCGGCGCGCCTGGCGGCCCTGGTGCAGCGCGGCCGGCTGATGCAGGAGGTGAACCGGCAGCTGCAGGGTCACCTGGGCGAGATCCGCGAGCTCAAGCAGCTCAACCGGCGCCTGCAGGCGGAGAACCGCGAGCTGCGCGACCTCTGCTGCTTCCTGGACTCCGAGCGCCAGCGGGGTCGGCGCGCCGCGCGCCAGTGGCAGCTCTTCGGGACGCAAGCATCCCGGGCGGTGCGCGAGGACCTGGGTGGCTGCTGGCAGAAGCTGGCGGAGCTGGAAGGCCGCCAGGAGGAGCTGCTGCGGGAAAACCTGGCGCTTAAGGAGCTTTGCCTGGCTCTAGGCGAGGAGTGGGGGCCCCGTGGTGGCCCCGGCAATGCCGGGGGCTCCGGCGCCGGGCCGACCCCGGAGCTGGCCCTGCCCCCCTGCGGGCCCCGCGACCTGGGCGATGGGAGTTCCAGCACGGGCAGCGTGGGCAGCCCGGATCAGTTGCCCCTAGCCTGCTCCCCGGATGACTGAGGGCGCTGCGTCTTCCACGCGGAAGCCTGCCGGGATTGCTCCTGGACTGCTGTGGACCTTAGAACCTGGGCTGAGGTCCCGGGATGGACTGAGAAGCCCCTAGTACTGAGGAGGGCCCTGCGCGCTGGCTGGCCGGGGCAGCCAGGGGCGTTGGGGGCAGAAGCGGAGGGACTTGGTGGAGGGGGGGCTGGGTGGGGACTAATAAACTGGGAAGGAAGCGGAGCCCGAAGCCTGGGCTTCGTGTGTCTGGAACTCGCGGGGGTTGGGGAAGAGGGCGGGAACCCGAAGACCAGGTACCAGTCCCGTCCAGAGGGACTGCAGAACTAAGTTGGCTGCCTCTCCATTACCTCGCGTCTGGGGTGGGATTTGAGACGGTGGTAAATCGCTGACTCCCCGTGCCAAGACAGGCCGAAATCCGGCCCCTGAAGCGGCTCCTTCCCGGCTCCTTCCTGTCCCAGACAATGGAGCAGGATGCAGGTGCTGGGAGCCTAAAAAGCCCACTGAGCCGCCTACTCTGACGGTGGAAGGGGGTAGAACACCGTCCCTTCCCCTTCCCTCCCTGCCCTTTAGGCAGGAGCACTATGGGTTCTCAAGAGGAAACTGATAATCTTTGCACTCCATAGGATTTTCAGCCTCTTGGTTCAAGAGATGACTCAGCAGACGTAGCCCCATTCCTCAGATGAGACAGTCGAGGTCCAAAACTATATAGTTTCCAAGGTCACGCTGAGACTGGGACGTAAGGCTTCTGTTTCAAATGGTCTCCTTTAGCCTCTCGGTCCAACATGACACTGAGACTAGAGCTTCAAGCCTTTTATTCCATTTTGGACGATTTGTATAAAAATAACCTCTTTAGGAAAATAAATAGCAGCTTCCCTCGCTGTGGCGGCTTGGATTCTCTGGAGCTAAAAGGCTTCTCAGAGCTGGAGATCGGAGCTCAGCTCATCACAGATGCCTCTGGCACCTCCTGAGCTGGCGCCGTTCAGGAGGAGCCTGCAGAACGCCCTGGTCCAATCATGGTGCTGCTGGAGTGGGAGCTGTGTTAGTGTTCTAGGCTAGTAAAAGGCCACCTTCTGTCGGAGAGTTAGGGTTGGCTGGATCCCAGGAAGAGAGGGTGATGGTGGTCTGCAGGGAGTTAGGGCTCCAGGGGACCTCTAAGGATCTACAAAGTCTTTGGGCTGCCAGGATTTCTCAGGCATAAAGGAGAAATATTTTTGTCTGATTTTCCGTAAATTGTGTTAGGCCAGCTCCAGAGAAGCAAGAGCAGCTTCGGCCACTTCCGCTGAAGCTGGCTATATACATCAAAGCATAATGGGTTGTCTCTCGTCTGGAGAGATAAGGGACCTTGCTGGCTTTGGGCATGGTACGGTATATGGTCCAGGCCAGCTGGATCCACGGGAGAAAGGAGATGGCTAGGGAAGGTAGCACCTACAAGGGGTGTGGTGTGTGCCTCACAAGGCAAGGAGTGTGGGGGATCCTAGAGGGTCAGAGGAGGGGTCCCCGCTGCTGCTGCTGCTCTTTCGATGAGCTGAGGCACAAGGCTCTGGTGTGCTAGGATAGGTGAAAACCAGGGTGGGAGTAAAAGGAGTCAGCGAGGGTGTGGTCATGAGGGTGGGGGTGTGCAATGCCTCAGGTTCAAGTACAGAGCCTGGAGAAAGAGAGATACACGGGACAGGGCGGCAGGGGGCTGGAGGGCTGCTGGGGTGGCTGGCACTGCTGGTAGCCCCTCTGTCCTTTTTGTCTCCTTCTGGGATTTTGCAGATGGGGCGATGGGCCTCCAGCACCAGCTCAAGGCGCTCCTTCTGCTTCTGCAGCTCCTCGATCTCTCGCTGCAGCCCAGATTTCTCATCCTCCAATTTGTCTGTCTCCTGTAGAGGGTCAGGGGAAAGTTAGGAAGATGAGGGCTGAAGACCTGGAAGCCTCAGTCGGGAGTGGGTAGGGGTGGGGGTAGCAGGAGTCACCAGCAAGTCTGGACTGCAACTCCCATGAGCCCCTGGGAGAAAATGGGTACGATTCCCATCAGGCCCGGGGCGTCTTAGGAGGGGATGGACAGCCCATCTTTAGCTCTGCTGCGAGGCTCAATTCAAATAATGTTTCATTACCTTTTCCTCATCCTCGATAGGGAGCTAGGGCGGGGTGTAGGGGACTAATATGTTGGGGATCCTGGGAGCCTAGGCCCCGGGTGCTGGGGGCCCTCTGCTCCAGCTAGCTGATGCTCACCGCCTGCAGGAAGTCGGTCAGTTCCTTCCTTCGGTTCCTGCACTTGGCAGCGGCCAGCTTGTTGCGTTCCCGCCTCACTCGACGGCGCTCCTCCTCCTCTGGGCTGATCTAGGTTGGGAGAGAGGAATGGACAGTGAGGCTGACCCAGGGCCACCAGCTGCCCTGAGCTGGCCCTGCAGCTAAGGCCCCTTCCGCCTGTGAGTTAGATTCCATCAAACAGCCACAGGCACCGTCATTCCCCAGACAGTGGCCTTGTCTCCTGGGTCCCTGGGATAGTTATTCCTTTTCACAGGACCCTCATCTATGGGTAGACCAAATCTCTTCCCCTAGCAAGGGCTCACGAGTTTTTCACTTTATTGGGAATCGACTGTGTGCCAGCTAAGCACTTTACATAATTTTTTTGTTCAGCTCTAGGAATCAAAGTCAGGGCCAGGTGCATGCTAGGCAAGTGCTTTACCACCGAGCAACGCTTCCAGTCCCTAAATAAATTATTTTTGTTTATTATATTGTTGAAACAGGATCTCATTATGTAGCTTAGCTCTAGCTGACCTGGAACTTGCTATATAGACCAGGCTGGCCTTGAACTGATAGAAACCTTCCTACCTCTCTCTACCAAGTGCTGAGATTAAAGGTGTGGGCCAGGCCTGGAGAGATGACTCAATGGTTACAAGCACTGACTGTAGAGGACCCGGGTTCGTTTTTTAGCACCTACATGGTGGCTAACAACCGTCCATAACTCCAGTTCCAGAGGAATCCAAAGCTCTCTTCTAACCTCTCTGGGCATTGCACGACATGGGTGCACTTACATACATGCAGGCAATACATTCATACACATAAAATACTTGAAAGGGGTGGGCTGCCACATGGGCTTCTTTTTGTTTCTTTGGAACAGGGTCTCATACAGCCCAGGCTGGCTTCAAACTCAATATATAGCCAAGGTTGACCTTGAACTCCTGATTGTTTTGCTTCCATTTCCCATGTACTAGAATTACAGGTTTATGTCTTCATGTCCAGCTTCCCTACATAGATTCTTTGTGTTGGTGCATGTGTACATGTATGTATGTGTGTGTACACACATGTAGTGACCAGAAGTTGACATAGGGTCTCTTCCTCAATCACTGTTCACCTTTTTTTTTGAAACAAAAGCTCTCACTGAACCTGGAGCTCATCAACATGGCTGGCCTGGGTGGCCATGAACTGCAGGGATTTTCCTGGCTCTGCTGGGGTTACAGTGTGCTGATGCTTTGGGCTTCTATGTGGCTGCTGGGGATCCAAACTCAGGTCCTCATGTGGTAGGCACTTGCCAACGAGGCTATCTGCTTAGCACCCCCTCACATATATTTGTTTTTACATTTTTTTGGGGGGGGGTCTTTTTGAGACAGGGTCTCCCTGTAGCCCCAGCTGTCCTGGAACTCAGTATGTAGACCAGGCTGGCCTTGAACTCACAGAGATCCACTTGTCTCTGCCTCCTAAGTGCTGGGATTAAAGGCATGCGCCACCACGCCTGGCTGTTTTTACATTTTTACATGTATCTTTTTTTTTTTGGTCTTTTTGAGACAGGGTCTCCCTGTAGCCCTAGCTGACCTGGATGGGACTCACTATGTAGATGGGGCTGGCCTCCAGCTCACAGAGATCCACCTGTCTCTGCCTCCCAAGTGCTGGGATTAAAGGTATGTGCCACCATGCCTGGCTAAATATTGTTCTTTAGAGAATTTATATAGGGGAGCTGGTGACATGACTCAGCGGTTAAGAGCACTGACTGCTTTTGTAGAGGACCTGGGTTCAATTCCACATGGTGGCTAACAACCATCCGTAACTCCAGTTCCAAGGGATCTGACACCTTCTGACCTCCATGGGCCTTGCACAACACAAGTCCACTTACATACATGCAGGCAATACTCTCATACACATAAAAAATAAAAATAATAAATACAATATTTAAAAAAGAATTTATATAGGAGTCAGGTATGGTGGTACACGTCTTTACTCCCAGCACTTGGGAAGCAGAGGCAGGTGAATCTCTGTGAAATCAAGACCAAGTTGGTCTACAATAGTGAGTTCCAGGTCAGCTGGGGCTACAGGGAGACACTATCTCAAAATATATATATTTATTTTATGCATATGAGTGTTTTACACCATGTGTATCCCTGGTGCCTAATGAGCCAGAAGAAGGCATTGGAACCCCTGGAGCTGGAGTCATGAAGTGTTATGAGCTGCCATGTGGGTGCTGGGAACCAAAAATATGGGTTCTCTGCAAGAGCAACAAGTGCTCTTAACCACCGAGCCATCTTTGTAGCCCCCTACAAAGATTCTTTTATTTTTTCAATTTTATTTTAAATGTAGGAGTGTTTTTGCCTGCATACTGGGAACTGAACCCAAGCCCTCTGCAAAAGCAGCCAGTGCTCTTAACCGCTGAGCCATCTCTCCAGTCCCCCTACAAAGGTTCTTAGGTTTTCTTGTAAGGAACTGAAGCCCAGGGAGAATGAATAACTCGTTTATAGTTCTAGATCTGGATTTACTAGTCACTCTATTCACACTGAGTGGTCAGCTATCTGATGGCACCACCTCCCCCATAAGGATCCTACATACGGCTCACAGCTCCAACCCAGTAGTACCCATGATCAAAGGGTGACACTCAGGACAGGACTGAAGGAAGTAAGTACAGGGGGGATTACCTTTGGCCTGACTCTTGCTCATATCCCAGTCTATCACAGAGGGCCAACTATTCTGTTTCTGGGAAACCTGCTGCTGCCTATTCTCTGACCAGTCACATCTCTCTCAGGGTCCTAGCTTTCCTCCCCATCCTCTACAAAAGAAGGCTGTGTGTGTGTGTGTGTGTGTGTGTGTGTGTGGTGAATTCAGGGCTTCAGGTTTGAAGCATGTTCTCTACCATGGAGCAATCAATCCTAGCCATCTTTCTTTTCCCTCTCTCCCTCCCTCCCTCTCTCTCTCTTTCTTTCTTCTTTCTTTCTTTCCTTTTTTTTTCCTTCTTAAAACAGGGTCTCCCTGTAGCCTCAGCTGGTCTGGAACTGCTATATAGACCAAGCTGGCTTTGATCTCACAGAGGTCCACCTGCCTCTGCCTCCTGAGTGCTGGGATTAAGTGTGTTGCCATGCCCAGCCAGGTTTGTTTCTTACATCAGATTTTTTATGGTCAACATTTAATTCATGTTTTTGTTCTTGTTTGTTTTCTTTGAGACAGAGTCTCATGTAGTCCCAGCAGACCTCAGTATCTGAGACTGGCCTGATCCTCCTGTCTCTACCTACCAGGTGTTGGAATTACAGGCATGAACCATCATGCCCAGCAAAGCAAGTGTTTCAGTATGGAGACCTCACCCCACGATCATCTCTTATTCTAAGTACCCCATGGAAAGGAAAGAGGAGCCACCTCTTGAAAAATTGCCCCTATAATCCTCGCATTTGGGAGACAGGAGAATCTCAAGTTCAAGGCCAGTCTGAGGTACATAGCAAGACTACCTCAAAACAAACAAAAATAAGAAACTGTACCCTTATTTATTTTGGAAAGGACTTCAGGGAGGCAAGAGTCCTCAGCTCCCTCTGCCTGGAACCCTCTGTGAGCTCTAATAGAGACAGTGTGACTGACCAGAGGCCAAGGCCAGTCCTGTCAAATTGCTCACTACTTGAGTGATTTCAGACAAGTAACTACATCTTTATGCCTTCAATTCCTCTGCTGTGAGATGGAAAAATAGAAGTATATTTCCCAGTTTTTATGATTAAATGAAATAAATTGAGATCCAGAGAAAGGCTGAAAGGAACCCTCTCATTCCCACCCCCAGCCCCCAGCTATACAGACAGCATAAGACTACCCACTCTATGCATGTCAGAAGGTGGAGACCCTCCTTCCTTTCCACATGCACACTTTATACTCTGCCCACTTCTACCTCCATTCTTGCTCCCCCCGGAAGGTTCTTCCTTCAGCTCTCATTACACAAATTTGAGCCTCTTTGAGTTAACATGCAGCCTCCTCCAGGAAGCTTTCCTTGACCCAGAGGTGAGCTTTTTTCCTCTGTCTTGACCTCCCCAGGGACTCCTGTGGGCAATCCAAATTCCCTACTTCTAGCAAGATCTGTGTCCTGCCCCCTAGCACCCCCGTGGGCAATCACAAGTGGAACACCTCTGCTCCTTACCTGTTCACAGGCCCTTCGACGTACTCCTGGAGGTGGCCCCAGGGTTCGTATGACTCCTGGCCGGGGCTGTGGGGGGGTGTACTGGGGGTAGGCCAGAGGTCGGGGATAGCCGCTGGGGCCCAGGAAGTGAGGCTGCACCATCCACTGTAATTCCTGGCTGCCACTCACAGCGTTGACACTTGGCACAAGGTGGAACTTCTGAGAGAAAAGAAATGGAGGGTCAAAGAGGATGTCTGTGGATTGAGGGACTCCCAGAGGACAGAAGCAACACTGCTTTCAGCCCTCAGTGCAGATACTGGTTCTCGGGATCAGGAACTCAATTTGGCAAATCAGAGAAACTGATTTGGAGGCAAATCCTTGTTCATGAGCTGTGTGACTTGGGGCAGGTCACAAGACATTTCTGTTTCCTGATCAGATCAAATTCTTACCAAGTGTGAACTTCCCATCACTAATCACTTTACAAACAGTGATTCATACAGTTGGCACATATTTTCATTTTCACACAGAGCAGATGTCCACAGACCAACAGCCAGTAAGTAGGAAGTGGGATTTGAGCCCAAATGCCTGGACTCTCACCCATTTCTGCATGAGTCCACACAAAGGACATAGTTACAGCTTCTTGTTCCCAAGGTGATTGTGAGAATCAGGACAATTTTTTGAGACAGGGTCTCACGTAGCCCAGGCTTGCCTCAAACTCCATATCCTCATGCTTCCACATCTCAAGTGCTGGTGTTACAGGCATGGAGCACCACATGTGTGTAACAGAGTCTGATAGGTGCCAGGTACCCCATACAGCACTGTAATGAACGAGAGCTATGGCTCTGAAATCAGCTGGACACAATTCTATTTCAGCTCCACCATTACTGGCTTTGTGACTTGGGGCAAATTATTTACCCTCAGTGGGTTTCAATTTCCTCGTTTTTAATATCAAGCAACATTTCATTGATGCTGAGAAGTGGTGCTCTATTAGCTCTGAAATCTTAACTGGTTATTTGAAAATTTGATGGCTCAAAAATGATGGAGTCATGCTGAGGTGGTTTTCCAGCCTTTAATCCCAGCAGAGAGGTAGGGGTATCTCTGTGAGTTCAAGGCCAGCCTGGTCTACATAGTGAGTCCTAGGCTAGTTCGGGCTCCAGGGAGACCCTGTCTCAAAAAAGCAAAAGACAACAATAAAAAAATGATGGGGTCTTGGAGTCCATACAATAAGGTAAGGAGATGACCATCCTCCACCAGAGACCTGGCACTTCTTTAACGATGACCTTTCTTTTTCAGCCAGAAATCTGTGGTATATGATGGGACGTAGGGCTCAGTGTTCTGGGAAGAGAACTGGGTTCAAGCCCTATGTCTGAGCTCTGGGTGTGGACACCCGGCCATCCAGGAAGCGCCTCACAAGCCTAGGCAAGTCTGGACAGTGGTGTCCCCAGCCCAGTGCTTGGGTGCACAGCGGCTCAGGGGGACCCCAGGTCTGGGCCAGTAGCACCGCCAGGGGCATCTCCCGCTCCTGGGTTGTCGGGGAGGGCAGCTCGGGGCCAGGAAGGGAGGGGCGCCCGGGGTGACTCAGCCGCCGTGACTCGGCCGCCGTGACTCGGCGGAACGGACGCAGCTCCTTCCCTCCCCTGCGACATGTGCTTGGCGCCCCTCGACAGGAAATGGGCACCTGAAGTTTCTCAGGGTCCCCCTTGCCAGCAGTGGGCGCCCGTGGGGTGCCAAGAGGAGGGGGCGCGGGAGTCATGGGTTGGATGAACTCCCTCGCACAGGTCTGCGCACTTTGCACGTCCCCACAGGGACGTGCCAGTTTCCAGGAACCCATCCGCGGACTCTGCCTGGGGCCCACCAGGCTCCACTGCGCACAGACAGGGATGGGTACTTGGGCTAGAGAGAGACGTGGACCAATGCACCGCTCATGGGTCCACAGGCAGACTGCCAGGGATACGCGCCCTGCCCCAGTTCCCATGGGTCCCATCTTCCTCCAGTGCCCAGACTCCGGATCCCAAGGAATTTAGCCCGAGGTGGAGAGATAGAGAGCTCTTCCTCTGATCTTCCTAAGCTGGGACAGGTGGGACAGTAATTATCGGTGGACAGGAGGAAATACAGACGATAACTGAGACCAGGGGATGGGGGAGCAGATTGACAGCGTGCGCAGCAGAAGCCGGCGAGGGAGTGTATTTGGCTGAGCTTAGTCCCCCTGGCCAACGGCGGCGCGCGCACAGTTCCTGGAGCTCGGGGAAGGCGCAGGACCCTCGGCCCAGATGCGGATGCTGCTCGGGCTCCGAAGCCCAGGTTCGGAGTCCAGGTTCCCAGCGCTGTCCAACCCGGGGACCCCGGTGGGGCTCCGCCCTGCTCACCTGCTGCTGGGTCGCCTGCGTAGCCGCCGAGGGCTGCGCGGGGCCTCCGTACGCGCTGCCCGGCCCGGAGCTGGGTCCCGGGTCCCCGAAGTCTCGGTACATGCCCTTGGCTGGCGGCTCCGTTGGGGTCCGCGGCGGTGGCTGGGGTTCTGACTCACTCTTCGCCCGCGCGGAGTCTTTTCTTTTTTATGAATGAAGAATTCTCGGGCTGAACCACTTAGACCGCGGCGGGTGGGGGCGTGTCACTCGGAGGGGACCTCTCCAACCGCGCCGCCTTGGGCCGATCCGTAGCTAACTTCACGACCCCCTCTGCCCGTCGCCTGCCGCCTTTTCTCCGGCCCAGGGACAGACTTGGCGTCCCCTAGCCACCCCGGCCGGCCCGCCCCCTCTGACGTAGCTGCCCATACATGGTGCAATTTCCTCGCCGCGCCCAGGTGCATGAGGATTCCCCCTGACGCACCTGCCAGTCCGTCCCGCGGGTGCACGCCGCACCCAATCCCCGGCTGGCCTGGGTTTCTGCTTGGGCAAAATAGGACGAAATAATGCCCCCGTGGCCACCTTGCGGCGCTGAGGGTATAAAAGGGTAGGAAAACTGCCTGGAAACTATAAAGTGAATTATAAATATGGTGAATTATTATTTCCTGACCAGGAAGCATCCAATTGCCACCCAAGGTTGCAGTCTTGGCTTAGGGCCCCTTCACTGGAATTGAGGGGTTTTTTGTTGTTGTTATTTTGTTTTTGGTTTGGTTAAGTTTTGTTGTTTTGTTATTTTGTTGTTGATGTTGAGGGAAATTGAGGCAGGGTGTCATATATGTAGCCTTGAACTTGCTACATAGTTGAAGCTGGGCTTGGACTTTTGATCCTCCTGCCTCCAGCTTCAAAGTGCTGGAGTTGCAGGACTGCACCACCACTATACCTGCTGTCTTTTTTTTTTTTTTTTTTTTTTTTTTTTTTTTTTTTTAAAGACAAGATCTCTCTGAGCATGGTGGCACACGCAGGGAGACCCTGTCTCAAAAGAAACAAACAGACAAAAACTGGGTCTCAGTCCAGGTTGACCTCAAACTCCCTGAGCTGAGATACACTGGAACTTCTGACCCCTCTCCCTCTCCCTTTTCTTCTCCCTCTGGGATGACAGGTGTGTGCCACCACATCCAGTTTACTGGCTTCCAATATACTAAAAAGTGAATAAGTGACAAGCCAGGGTTACAAAGATGTTGTTTTTATGTGTTTATGCTAAACAAAGTGATTCGAGGAGTACCCATAGACATAACGCAGTAGAATTGTGGTGTTCAAGGAAATCTCAGGACCTATCACAATTTTTAACTCAGGCCCAGGCAGTGAAACCCTCCAGGACACAGGTATGCTGAGATGCAATCAATGAGGCTTCTTGACTGTAGGTGCCCTTCTGGTGACTCTGTGTCACCTGCATTTTTTGGAGAGTGTGTGGAAAGTCTTTTTGAAGCTGAGACCCTGCCCAAATGTGCTGAGGAGGTAGGTATCATCGCCACTCCATTTTAACAGTTGGAAAAACTGAAGCTGAGAGGTATTGAAATAAATTGCTCAAGGTCACTGAGTAGCTGAATCAGGTGGCCTTGCACACACACACACTGCACACATGCAGAATGTCAGCTCTGAGATGACCATCTCAAAGCTCCTTCTCTGCTTCCTCCCTCCCATTTTTTATGGATGAGGAAACTGAGGCTAAGAGAGAGGAAGGAGCTACCAGGGTTACAGGACTACAGAAAGAGGGTGGGGCTCCCCTACTTTTTAACCAGAGCTCAGATGGATTTACTCCTCAGGGAAGGGTGGGGGGGTGGTGGGATATCCTGGGCTGCCCTCCTTGGGAACAGAGGGCAGGGAGCTGCAAGTGCTCTCAGACTCCAGGCCAGGAGGCCAGCATGGCTCTGGGGTTCTAGTCCCAGCGCTACCATTTTCTGCCGTGTCACCTGGGGCAGGTGGCCTCCCTTGAGTCTCAGTTGGCTTCCCCGTTGACCTCACAGGGCTGTTGTAGGAGCGAATGAGATCACAGATGTGAAAGTACTTTGTGAGCTGTAAAGTACAGTGTCCTCAGAAGGTGGTTACCAACTCACTGTCCCTCTCTTGCCCTGATTCTGCTGAATGCTTATCTTCCTCTCGAACGAGAGAGAGAGAGAGAGAGAGAGAGAGAGAGAGAGAGAGAGAGAGAGAGATTTTGAGACAGTGAGACCATGTAAAGAACACACAGGCACTTGTGGTAGACTCAGAAAGCTCTGGGTTTGAATCTGGATAGACTGAGGGATCTGGATGAGTCATCCAGTTGCCCTGGGCTTCTGTTTCCTTATTTGTGAAATGGAGACATAGTGATAACTCCATCTGAGGATTGTCAGAGATAGAAATACATTAATGTTACAGACAGGCATGGTGGTGAATGCCTGTGAACCCAGCACTCTGGAGGTAGAGGCAGGAAGATCAGTAGTTCAAAGTCAGTCTCTGCTACTCAGTAGGTTTAAAGCCAGCCTGGGCTACGTGAGAACTTGTGGCCAAAAAAAAAAAAAAAATACAGTAACTGGGTGTGGTAGTGTATGCTTTTAATCCCAGTACTCAGGAGGCAGAGGCATGCAGATCCCTATGAGTTTAGGTCTAAATAGGGAGTTTCAGGCCTGCTGGGGCTATAGGGAGACCCTCTCTAAAGCAAACAAACAAAAAGCACACAGCTGATGAGATGGCTCAATGGGTAAAAGTGCTTGCCACACAGGCCTGACTACCTGAGTTCATCTCTGGAGCATATGATGGAAGGAGAGAACTGACTCCTGAAAGTTGCCTTCTGGTCTCCTTATGCATGCTGTGGCATGTGCACACACACACACACACACACACACACACACCACAATAATAATGTCACATATTTAGCACAGTACGTAGTAAGAATGTGACAGAACCAAAACGAAATTTACAGACTGAAAAGCCCATTGGTTGGGAGCCTTTGGAACTCTGATCACACACATTTGTGTGCTTGGACACACACACACACACACACACACACACACACACACACAGAGAAAGACTGACAGATATTTGAACTCTTTGGGTGACCCAAGCTGGACAGTTGACACAGCCAGCCAGATGGTGGCACATACATGAATTGACCTGGGTCAGCCTGGACTGCATCCAGTCACCCTGCCCCCTCCCCATGCAGTCTAGGGCAGCTGGCAGAGCCTGGGCCCAGCACTCCAATGGTGTGTGTGTGTACGTGACTTTGAAAGTCCCTTCCTGCTCTAACCATCTTGGAGTCACAAGAGGCCCTTTGAGCAGCAGTACATTCCAAGCTCCTCAGTCACTAACTCCTGCCTTGTGGTTGCATAGACGTTCTTGGTGGCTGACCTCACCAGCTCCTGGCCAGGGAGCCAGGGGAGAACCCCAGGGGGCCACAGTGACTGCTGGGAGGCAGGGAGGTCTGAGAGGCCCTGCCACTGTCCCTTGGCTGCTGTGTGTGCCTGGGTCAGTGGCTTCCTCTCTCTGAGTCCAGAGAATCCCCACCTCTTGGACTGGAGAGAGGCCAAAGGCGGTGATGGAGGAAAGTGTTTGGCATCTAGAAGGTTCTCAGGGCATTGGAGGTGATGTTTATGTTTTTCAGTTCCTATTCTCTTCTTAAATTGAAGTTTACTTTTTTAATTGAGATGAAATTCACATAACATACAATTAACCATTTTAAAGTGTACAGTTCAGTGGCATTTAGTCCATCCATAGTCTTGTGTAACAACCACCTCTCTCTGGTTTCAAAACTTTATTGCTCTAGAAAAACACCCTGTGTCCATTAAGTAATCACTCCCAATTTACCCCTTCCCCCATCCCCTGGTAACTACTCATCAACTTTCTGTCGCTGTGGCTTTGCCTGTTCCAGGCATTTCACGTAAATGGAGTCACACATTATGTGACATTTTCTGTCTGGCTTCTTTCAATTAGCATAAATATTTCCTTTTTTGAAACATTTTTTTGATTTACTTATTTTTATTTTATGTGTATGAGTGCTTTGCCTGCAGGTATGTAAGTGCACCTGTGTGCAATGCCCATGGAGGCCAGAAGAGGGTGTTGAATCCCCTGGAACTGGGTTACAGGTGGTTGTGAGCTGCCATGTGGGTGCTGGGAACCGAACCTGGGACCTCTTTAAAAGCAGCCAATGCTTTTAACCACTGAGCCATCTCTTCAGCCACTAGCATAAAGATTTTCAAGGCTCATTCTGTTGTCACATGAATCAATACTTGGTACATCTTTTGTGACGAAATAATACTCCTTGGTATGTATACACCACGGTTTAGTCCTGAGTTGGTGTCTTTGGTGCTGTTTCCACTTTGAGGCTCATATGAATGCATTTTCGTGGCTCTTGGGTCTGTGGAATTGGGGCATCACAGGATAACTTTCTCAGGAGCCTCCAGACATTTTTCCAAAATAGCTGTACCATTTTGTATCTTCCCCAGGAGGTCTGTGGGGGCTTTCATTTTGCCAAATCATTGTCAACCCTAGTTTGTTGTTTTTAAAGCCATGCTGTAGCCCCAGCTGTCCTGGAACTCACTATGTAGAACAGGCTGGCCTTGAACTCACAGAGATCCGCCTGCCTAATTTCTAATACAAAAATAAAATTCTTAATACAAAAATTGTTTTTATTTTTTAATTATGTGTATAGGTATGTGTCTGTGTGTGGGTTGTACACACAAGGGCAAGGCCTAGGGAGGCCAGAGGAGGTTGTTGGACCATTGGAGCTGCAGTTACATTACAGGCAGCTGTGAGCCGCTATATGGGTGCTAGGAACTGAACTCAGGTCTTCTGCAAACGCACCAAATATTCGTAACCACTGAGCCATCTCTCCAGCCTGCCTTTTTTTTCTTTTTTTTCATAGTGTCTCACTATGTAGTCTCAGAACTCATATTGGCCAGGCTGGCTTCAGACTCACAGACACATGGACATCCTTCTATCCTTGCCTCCCCAGTGCTCGGATTAAAGGTTTCTACTACCATGCCCAGCATATATATATATTTTTGAAGCAAGGTCTCATGTATCCCAGACTTTGAACCTGAGGTTTATCCAAGAATGACTTTGAATTCCTGATTCTCTTGTTCCATTGCATAGAAGCCCTCTTCAGTGCTGTGATTATAGGTATGAGCCACCATGCTCAGTTTTATGTGCTGTTGGTAATCAAACCCAGGGTTTTGTGCCTGCGAGGCAAGCGCTGTCCTGACCAAGCTCTATTCCCAGCTTCACCTTCATGTTTTTGATAATGTCCTTTGCGTCCTCAGAAGTGCTGGGGACTGAATCCAGGGCCTCGCACAAGCTAGGCAAGTACTCTACCTCTGGGATGTCTATCCCCTTGGTGCTTCTGAGATAGATGTGTTTAT